TCCCATTGCTGCTGAAACAACGAACAGACGCTTTTTAGGACAGTCCATTCGATCGTTAGTTGAGATCGGTCGGAAAGGTCTTTTGCGATAACGCGGATCAGTCGATATCGTACGAACCGATAGGAAATTTCGCCGCAACAAGACATCGCGTCGGAGGAAGTCGAAGAACGGAAAGATCAAAGTCGATAAAGGAGTTGGACGCTGTAAGAAACCAGCTAGCGAACACGACTACGCTATCGCATAGCGCCACGCGTTATACCAACGCGTCGCGCGGGATAATTGGATATCGGCGGATTGCATCAGAGTTTTAAGGATGACCCTAATGCGCGCACTTCGGTGGGTGGAAGCTTCATAAGCTTCGTGAACCGATGGGTGCAGGTTTACGGGTAATAATTAACGGGTAATAAAATTCCATCCGTTTCAGTTCCGTTTAAGTATCGTAGTTTATGTTCATCGGTTCTCGGTTTTCGAATTTCGTGTGATATAAGAATGAAGGTCCTTCTTCGTAACATATTCATTCGTCGCAATTAAAGACATCTTTTTCATAATTCATCGTGGCTCGTAGAAGATGATTGCGCTTCATTAAATTGATGTTTTATACGGCTACGTTGAAAGCAAGTCACATTACGCTCATAATGGCGTCATAACTTTGTTCCCTTCACATCTCCGTTATGAGTCAGATTAGTAGTGCCGAACGAGAACGTTGAACGGTTTTTATTCCGAATGCGACGCTATTGTGACACGATAATTGGAAATCGGCGTATTTGCTGCTGTCGCAACATCATCGATTTTCGATAGCGGAATGTGGATAATTGACGGCTGAGATATATCTTCTTTTTTGGTTCTTCAAAAGGGATTAATCCCTTACCCTATCGCTTAATTCAATTGTTATTGATGAAGATAGTATATTATAATTATCATGATATAATTGGATCAATAATTGATATACTATAAAAAGTCTAATCGCAATGAATTTGTCAACGAGTTGTTAAAGTGTCAATAGAAGACTGTATATTTCGCGGTTGATTGTCGGCACTACTTTTAAGATGTTAATTGAATTAAAAATGATGTTGTTATGATTATAACAACTTTTACGTGAGATAAATTACATCGACTTTCGTTTTCTACTTCCGATCTGCAAAGAGTCCGGGTTCGCGAGAGACAGTAGTCGCTTTATTGAGTTTCCAAGTAGCCGACGAATGGCATATCGATAAAGGCACGACTATATATCCCGGCGAAGGGAGGACAGTCATTAATGAGACACTTTCTATCCGCCATGAGTACAGCCTCGTAGATAAAAAGCTGGATACAGCGAGCTACTATTCCAAGCTCTCTTCGTTATATTACGAATAAACATGAAGCTGTCGAAGAGCTGTAATCGGTTACAGCCGATGATCTTTAACCGCGAGTTTTACGCGATTACAGAATAATCAATACTAAATTCGTTTGGATGATTCGATTATGAATTTGATTAATGAGTTGTTGTTACGTATGTGATTTGTTCCCTCGGATACATTATAAAATATTTCTAGATAGCCCCAAATGTCAATTTTTCTCCATCGAAGTGTGTCACTAGACACAAAGAAGTTAACTACACTATCGAGATTAACTGACAATAAGAGTTACAAATCTGTAAAGAGTCAAGGCGGTTCGCAAATGGAATTACGATGCGGAAGCCGCATTCATACGTTATCCAGCGACGCGTTGCAGCGACGCAGTCGTCGGTTATCGCCGCATAGTGTGAGATCATGTTTATAAACGCGACCCACGATGGGGAATCATCGGTCTCTAAACTTAGTACACGTCGTAAAAACAGTCACAATTTTCCCTGGGAATGAACTGAAAACTCGTATAATATATTTTTCCGATGTCGATATGCATAATCTAATAACGAAATTAAAATTATCTAACGTATATAAGCAGATGTGAGATAATAAAATCAATCATTAATATTTCATTAATGTATAGATAAGATATAGATAAGATAATAATGCTAAAAAAAATAAATAAATAAAAATAAAAATATAAGTTATTGTATTTTATTAATGCAGAGACCGATAAGATTTAATATCTTAAAAAATAAATTTCTCAAATTGCAATATACTCAATACAATGTACTCAGTACAAATTGCGCTGTACTCCGTTAGGCTTAACGAACTTAATCACTACCTTGCGATACTGCATAACAACTCGACTGGTCCCGACGACGACGAAACGCAGCTGGGAGCCGCGTTGGAATAAGCGCGAGAGCAAGCTTAATTGCCGTCGTTAAAGAACCAGCTAAATGGTAGCGTTTGTTGCATTTTCGAGACGGCGGAGTAAAGACGGGCGAAAATAGGAAGACTCGTAAAAAGAAAATGATAAAGAGGAAAAAAGCTGAGAAGATAAGAAGAACAGTGTTGTCCTTTTACACGACGGTAAAGAAGAGGGCAAAAAAGTCTAAAGCGGACAGAAACCTCGCGATTAGTGCCCTGAACGTGACGTTGAACCCGTCTCGAACGCGACTTCCGGACTCTCTCGAACCGGAATGGAATAAGATTAATACAAGGCGACTCTGACCGGCACTACACCTACACACGTGTGCAAGGTGTATATTTAACTGCGGTATGAGACGAGCGAATCTCGAATTCGCGTCGCATTGAATCGAGATATTTAGGAATAGTACGCAAAATATTTACGTTTACTTTTGTTAAATAACAAACAGAATAACTTAAAAAAAAAAAACTCGAAAAACATTTTAAAAATGTCTATTCGAATGTTCGAATGTTTCGTCTATTTCGCCTCTTCTAACCAAGTGCAAACAAGTAATCTAAAATAGCGAAAGAAATTGGGCAAAGAAACAAATAACAAAATTTCTCGGCTTAGATCTCACGCAATATGCAAAAAATTACAAATAAAAAACGTGTACTTCGTTTATATAGTTGTAAGTTACGTCGATTAGTGAATTGTCAGGTTTTTGATGTTTGGAATTAAACGTTGCACGATATTTTGCTTATTGTTGCATAACTAACTCCAATTGTATATTGCATTCTTGTCAGAAGAGCTCGACTCGCAGACTCCAGCTCCGGCTTGCGAAAGCTCGAATGGCGGCTTCCTAAATTACATCCCGCAGCCTGCGACGATGATTCATCGTTCCGAAACTCGAGCGAACGAGCGTGGGATATCAACTGCGTTCTGTTTAACATCTCGTCAAACAAACCGAGAAATACAGCCACCGAAAATTTTCGGACGTGTTGTAAATGAAGTAATTCTTGGCCAAAGTATATTACAAGAGAGAAGAAATAAAATCCGAAATGGAAGTCTATTGTGTCAACTCATGAAAAAAAGATGTTATAAATCGAAGATGGTATGCAATCTTCTTATAAATTATTAAATATTAATAAATTAGTATTGTCTTGAGGAAGTTGACAGGAAGAGAGATATTTTGAAATAAAGGTTTTAATTTATAAACTTATCAATATTCATCAATTATTTATAAGGAGAGAGAGTTATAGTGACAAGAAGTTTGTGAAAGAAGTTGTGAAAAATTAATGACTTATACATTATATATGACTTGAACAAACAATTTTTTAATATATTCCATAAAATATGATAGAATGTATAACATTCATCTTTTGAGTACAAATCGGGAATTAATTCAATGTGTTAGCGAAGAGACAGCGAGGCTGTTTCGTGAAAAACAGAAGCCCCTCCTCCCCCTCTTCTCGATGAAACTTTTTCGGCGCAGCACGAATTGAAACGAAAGACGCCACTTCGGCGAAATCTAATGCGATAAAGCAAATGTTTGTTAAAGAAGGAAAAAAGAGAGATCAGATACGTGATTCCCAGAAGAGCATTGCTGATTGCTGGCGAACACGCGCAGGCCAATAAAAATACTCACGATTAGATCGAAGAGGAAAAAATTACAGATGTGAGATTCTTATCAATCGAGATTATATCTATTATTCATAAATATTCTTTAATTATTTGCAAATTAATGAAATTGTTTTAATTTTATATTTCTTCGTTTTCGATATAAAAAATGCGATCGTTAAAGTCAGAGGATGTGTTGGAAGCGCGACTCGAGAGGCAAGAAATGTGGAATATAAGCCGTCAATAGGGAAATGGGAAAAGGAGAGGGAGGGAGTCGCGTTATAAAATGCAATTAGGTCGCATTACGCGAGAATGACGTGGTGAGAGACGCGGGGTGAGAGTGAAATTTAATTAAGAGAACCGAACTGGTTTCCGCTGTCGCTACTGCCGCACGGAATCGGGCCAGTGCACTGATCACCGAGAGACAAGAGAAGTGATGCGAGAGTCGTCGTTGATGTTATCGGGACGCAGACTCTCGTATAAGAACAAAATTACGTTTCGATTGGTGAAGTGCAAGCATCTGATTAGAGCAAAATTAGACATGGACATGGAGAGAACTGTGCGCGGTCCTCGAGAGAGCAAAGGAAACGAATGCGTCGACGAGCGATTGCAACAGACAGATGATGTCGGTGGCGGTGTAGGATGAGATGAAAGTGGAATTAAACAGAACTGTGAATGAAGCGGTTTGCTAATCCTAGCCAGCGGAAGGAGAGTGGAAGCGATAGGATTAAATAAAATTATTATTCATGATATATAGAAGAGATTATTTCGAATGTCCAAAATAATGTTTTCATCGATAAATAAATACTTAAAACTGTGTTGAGGAAAAAAAAAGTTCAATGAAATTAAGTCAAATAATATCTACAAGTTCTATCCTGAATAACACACATTCAGAAATTTTAATTATGAATCGTTATAATACATTGCGTATGACAAACGATGTACCGCATGAGAACTCATCATCGTTAATGAAACAATCGAAAAACCTTGGAGAGCACTTCGTGAGTTGTTCAGATCTATCTATATTTATACTGCTATATTGCTATACAACCAGCAACTTGTTGCTCTCGAATCGAGCAAGAAACATGACAAAGTAGCGGTATTCCGAGATAAGAAAATATTTATCGTTATCTTATTTATTAAAAAACAAAATAAACACAGCGGTCGTTTGAAACAGCAGCTTACAATTACTCGCAAATTATGCTATTGTAATTATCTATCATGATATTTATCTTTCAATGATTGATGTCAAAAAAATTAATAAAATGTCTTAGAAATCATGCAGATACATACAGATTCCATTTGAGTTTAATGACTTACCTCACACTAGAAACGCTTCTCTGAATGTCCACATTGTTCCTCCTGGCGGCTTCTTCAAGAGTAACGGCCTCTTGCTGACGTCTCCTCTCCTCTTCGGGTGGGTGCAACGGTATGATAATGTAATCTGGCTCCTTCTTCTTGGCGGTGGCCGGTTGTTGCTCCTCTTGCGTTCTCGTCGTCGGCTCGACGGCTTTCTTATGCGCCTCCGAACGCGGTACTTTTGTTCTGCCGCTAAATCTAAGCCTGGAGAATCTCTGAAGAAAGCCGCCCAGGCCACTTTTCTTCCTCTCCTCGCTTTTCATGGCGGCAGAGGACGTTGGCAGAGAAGTTGAAGAGGTCGCGTGGATCTTCGTGGACTCCCTTTTCGGGGCGACAAACGACGACCGTTTCGCGTTCGCAACGCTCGCGTCCCGCTTGTTGATGCACGGCGCGCGTTGCTGCTCGTCGCCCTGACGTTTGTCGCGATCGCCACCGCGATGATTCGTATCAACTGCCGCCACGGCCACAGCGGGCTTCCCACTACTACCGAGTAAACCCGGATCGCCGGGTGGGGACTCGGAGCCAACACCACGGACATTGTGCCCCTCCTCCTCTACCTCCTTCTTTTCCACCGCCTCCACTTCGTCCCTCTTTTCTTCCTCCTTCTTTTCATTCTTCGCCGTTGCTTGCTTCTCGATCACGACCCTCCACAGACGTTCGCCGGCATCTCGGTCGCTCGGGCTGGGACTATGAGAACGATCTTCGTGCTCCCGGTTCGATGACACATTCTCCGAGTTCACCTTCCGCTCTTGAATCTTGTCCTCGTCTGCCTGAGGACTCCGTCGAGAAAGTTGTGCCACTCGTTCCGGATAAAACTCGCCGATGAAGCTCTTCTTTGCGTCTCCGGTCTCTTCTTCGCTTCGTTTGCTGGATGATTCTTCGTCGATATAAGAGGACACCGCTGAGGAATTTTCAAGAACACTTTTCAATTGAGTTGATTTCTCCGATTCAATATTTTCGCGCAAAACGACCCTATTCTCCAAGCAGGACGCTCCTATAGATTTGGTTTCCAAGCAGGGATAATCTACCTCGTCATCTAGCAATCGTGGGCTCAGCGCGCTAGCATCGCCACAGACTGAAAATGGATCCGAGTTTTTTTTTATCTGACCAAAGAACGAATCGTCCTGAGAATCTTTCGGTCTGGAATCCTCGCTGATGTTCGTGTCGAAATCCATTTGGTGCATTACGTCGGCGATTTTCAGTCCCGAGGAACGTCCGGATGCAGCTTCCTCCAATTCGTCGCACGCGTCCATTCGGTGGAACGCTGATCTTGAATTCTCCAACGCCTTGATGTAACTGCATTGTTGCGCCAACTCGTAGCTGGCGTTGTTTAGTACTCGCCTTTTTCCAGGAGAGTTAGCCCCATCGCGATTTTCATCGGTATCTTTGAGTATCCTTTGAAAATTTCTCTCATCAACTTCGAGTTGTTGCGCCAACTCGTAACTAGCGTTATTCTTTACTCTTCGGTTTCTCACTCGACCGGACGGCGTTCGTTGAATCGTCTCCATCGCCAAGATGGCGGCGTTCGCCACTCCGGAAGCGGTCGCCTCCTCCACCTCGCGCTTAAATTGCTTGATGGCTTCGTCGAGGTCGTTCTCCGTCACCATAGCCATATCCAGCACGCAATTGGAGCGATCCTGAGTCTTCACCGTCGACGGAGGTTTCGCTTGCTTGTTTCCATCCGTCTGTTGCACTTCGCGACGATCGTTCGCACATTCGACCTTCGTTTGTTCTTCGTTTTTCTTTCTATGATTCTCCAGATTGTCGTCCATGAGCGCGCCCTGGGCCGGTTGCGTTCTGACCGAACTCAACACGACCTTCGTTTCCGCTTGCATCTCGTCGTCATTCTCTTTCAGGATCGTATCATCTTGCGAGTTCTTCAGCGTCGCGGCCTCGTCGTTGGGCGTGATCTCCGCCATTTCGCGACCGTTCATCTCGTCGTCGCACGTAGCGACGACGCCGCAGAGATTCAGATCCACCGGCACGCTGGCCACCCGTGTGTAATTTTCAAAGAGAGAAGATGTCGACACGTAAGAGGTCGTTCTCGAGGTATGAAGACGAGACGACAAGGTGCAACTTAGACCGTTACGTGCTGACTCCTCGACACCGTCAAGCAGACTGGGCGCGCTTTGCGACTTGTCCGTGAATCTAAAATTAAAGCGTTCCTCGTCGCTCCACCCTTGATGTTGCTGTTGGCGGCGACGACGATGGTGGTGGTGGTGATGATGATCGTGTTGATCGTACTGCTGTTGTTGGTACTGCTGCTGCTGCTGCTGCCGCTGTTGCTGCGGGTGCTGATGATGATGATGATGGTGGTGATGATGATGATGCTCCGCGCTGCCGCCGGCTATATTTAACCGGGCCGTCTTCTGGCCGGACTTGAGCTCCAAAAGCGTATCTCTCTTCGTCTCCACACCAATCTCCCGTAGATCAATCGTGTTCCGATAGTCTAAGGACGTTGCGTACTTGCCGGACTCGCCGTACAGCAGCCGATCCTCGTAATCGGTCATCAACCGAGAATCCGCGTTCGTTCGACTTCGTTCGTACTCTTCGAAATCGTACTCGTCATCCTCCTCTTCGTCGTCGTCATCGTCGTCGTCGTCGTCGTCGTCGTATTCCTCGTCCTCGTGCCAAAAGTCTCTGTTTCGTATAAGGGGACATTATCGGAATAGTGATGCAAATGATACAAAAAGTTTTATTTTATTTTTCTCTTTTTTTCTATTTAGTTAGTACACATATGATCAAATATAAGGATTTGACGATTATTTAAAATTTTTTATAATGTAAGTCCTTATAAAAATTAAACTGCATTCTTAAAGGATACCTATGCAAAACGCTGCGCACTTAAGAACAAAATGGTGGAACGATCTGGCGATTCGCTAACGCGTTTGTGTTTCAAGCGTTTATAATATCAGCAGTAAAATCAAGGTGGTCTTCTTCAGGGTCACGATTGCATTTAACTTAAGCCGTAAAGCGATCGTCACGCGGAGGGGAAGTCGGCGTATGTTGCCAAGAAAACCAAGAAACGCTCAACATCCGACTTCATCGTACAAATACGCATACATTGTTTATCACCCTTTCATTTCCAGATTGAAGCAAAGAAATCATGAAGAGATCAAGTATGTTTTCTTTCATTTGAAATAAAAAACTTGAATATGAAAAACTAATTATATCGACTATTTATTAGAAATTTATTTATTTCAATAATTAATTCATTGGAAAACTATATGATCATGTACATTTTAAGCTAATTTATTTTAAGCTTTTAATATTTTATTCAAAATTATTTTTCACGGCATATTAAAGAAAAGAAAGAAAAAAAAAAAGGAAAATAAAACTAATATGTAAAAAAATATTTACTAATAAGCTAATAATGCTAATAAAGATATATAGATAAAATATTTATCTTGTGTCTGCAATGCAGAGACTTACCATTAGTCCTCGCAAACTAATTTGGGAAACAATGTATGATTACAATAGTTCTGTATTTCTATTCTAGCGACGCAGGTAAAAATAGAGTGTTAAACGACGTGTGCACGTATGCCAAGAATAACAAATAAAAGCCTTGGTGGCGTACATCGGAATTGCAACGCGGGTGGACTAACTGCGTTACGTTTCCTAAATCGTATATATAAAAAAATGTAGATAAAAAAAAATTGTTCAAACTGATATAAACTTGATGATAAAATATATTGAAATATCAAAATAGAAAGGTATCTCTATCAATCGTCTCCTCCGTATTGAAATAATTACTAAGAATAACTATTTATTGCTATAAACCGTAATATTTTAAGATACAAAGATTTTCCAACATATAAGATTTTTTGTTTATTATCTATCCTAACGCGATAAAATTTAACACGAAAAACTTACCTTGGACGTTGATTGTTCTTCCTAATATTCGATAGATCAGCACCTCTCTTCGCGTATAAAGGCGCAAAACCATTCGATATGGCCGCTTGTCCATAAACGTCGTCCTTCTGGCATGTATCCAGACTTTCAAAGCTGCGATACGGTCTAATCCTCGGAAAATGGTCTGCCAATGTGCTAGCAAAACCATTTGGTAGCAACCTATCGTAGTCCTGTTCCAAGCTATCAGGGGAATCATTCTCCGGATGGGAAGTATTCGATCGATTAGAATATTCCAGAGAATCGAAGCTATAGCTGGACGGTGACAGAGTGGCACAAGTTCTCTCCAAGGACTCAAACTGCAGCAACGAACTTGATCTGGAGGAGGCGGTTGATCTAGAGGATCTCGGCGATGTTGGATACTCGTCGTAGGTCGTTACTTGTTGATGATGATGGTGGTGATGGTGGTGATGGTCGGTGCCATGATCGCGACGTCGTCGCTTCTTCGGCACCACCGAGTTGCACTCGCTACCGCTACCATCCAGCCGCTCGTCTTCCGAGAATAAGACGGTACGATGAAGATGATCATGTCAATGATGAGGAGAGACATGCGAAGTCTTAAGAGAGTAAAAACGAGACAAACAAACGAACGAACGAACGAACGAGCAAGCGAGCAAGCGAGCAAGCAAGCAAGCAAGCAAGC